AATAAAATAAAATTAGTTATATTTTTAATATTTTGTTTTTCATGCCTATCTAAATAATTTATATATTTTCCATTTACTAATTTATATAAATTAATAATGTGTGATACCTTTGTTATATTTCTAATAATTAATAAATTTAATTTTCAAATAAGAGACTTTATTTGAGTAATTAAAAATTATGAGGACTAAATCTAAATAATTAAAATTAGAATTTAAAATTCAGGCCATTGAAATGGTGGCATTACCTACGGGGTATCTCAAATGTTATTTTTTCACATCTTAATTTTTTTTAAAAAAATTGTATTTATATAATTTTTATAATAAAGTGAGATAAGAAAATAAAAAAAGGAAAAAAAAATAGAAGAAAATGACATAAGTTTATTAATAAGAAAGAGAAGGATAAAATAAAAAAAAAGTGTTGCAAAAATATCATTAAAAAATTATATTAAGAATAATATATGTCCTTTATTATTTACCTGTAAAAGGAAATAATAAACTAAGATAGACTATGTTATGTGGATGATATAATAGTCACATATAGTTCAAAAACTAAAGTCACAACTTTTATTCCATTAACAAAGTTTACCAGCAAAATCCACATGAGCATCACTAGAAAGCATTGAAAATGATGTTGAGATAATTACAAAGCACCATTGACTATGGTTTACCCTTTAAGAAACCATCTCACCTCACTCTTCAAGCTTTTTTTTATTCTAATTGGGGATCCAATCTTGATGACAGAGAGTCTACCACGGGATTTTGTGTCTATCTAGGTGACAATCTTATTTCATAGTGTTTCAGGAAGCAAAGAGCTATTTCTCGCAATAGCATTGAGGTTAACTTTTGAAGTCTTGCAGTTGTTATTGCAAAATTACTTTGGCTATAGTCCCTCCTTAGTGAATTAAGGGTCCCGTCTACAATTCCAAAAGCTTATTGTGATAATCTTGGTGTGGTTATGTTAGCAACTAATCCAATGATCCACAAGTTCCAAACATTTTGAACTCGACCTCTATTTTGTCAGGGACAAAGTCATTGAAGGAGTTGTCTAAGTCATCCATTTACCTGCACAATTTCAGGTTACTGATATCCTTACCAAACCCATCTCTGGCTCTCAATTTGAAGCCTTTCAAAGCAAACTCATGGTTACCTTAGGAGGTAACATGAGTTTGAGGGGAAGGGGTGTAAATGGAACTAATAAACTAAGATAGAATTTGTTATGATTTGTTATGCACATGTGTATTAGTTTTTTCCTTTTAACTATTATGACCACATTTATATAAGACTTTTATCCTTCTATCTGTAATTCATTCTATTCAATATCAATAATACAAAAGCACTTCTCTCTATTTTTTCTTTACCTTTCCTTCATCTATAACTAAACTCTAACATTACCTTCTATGATTTTTTTAATCGTTTTTTACATGTGTCACTTTAGTGATCAATGTATCATGTCATGATCAATTAGTAGAGTTATAAAATTTGTAAAATTAAAAAAAATCAAGTTATAAAATGTACAAATTTTAAA